GTCCATTGAGAACAGATGGATTTTGGACTGGTCCATTGCCATTAATAAAATACTAAATATGGTTAAAGTATTACACTGATGGACCCAATGGACCACCAATGGACCATCAATGGACTGCACATTTGCCAACCCTGGTCTGAAACAGCTAAATTGGCAAAGTCAGAGGCAAGTATATATTTATTTTATTGACAAAATTAATAATTGACCAGGTCATGATGACAAAAGCCGTATTTTCTTGAGTCATTGTATAATTCTTATTCACTGATTTATTGGTGGGGTGCAACCATCTGATAAATATGTTGAGTTTTTTTGAAAGAATTTTGGTTTATTGGTGGGGTGTAACCGTCCAATAATGATACCAAAATTCAAATTCCAGTTTTTCTTGATTGGTGGGATCCAAATAAGTTTTATGATATTATCTCACAAATTAGTATTTTACCTTTACAGAAAATAAACGATAATGTGAAAAAGTTCTGACTCCAGTACATTTTGGGGGGCTTGTTGTCTTCATTTTGGTTGGTTAGATCTTCTCCCAAATGATCACTATTTTGATCTCATAACCAAATGAAAAGGTCGTCTTCGTAAAGTAAGAAATCAAAATACTTATTTTATGTCACAATATAGTTTTTTTCGACTCAAGGAATTTTCTAACAATTGACTATCAACAATAGATGACTATTGACAGCTTGGACTCAGTTGTTTGCATTATCAGTCAACATGTTGCATTATGCACAGATATAACCAAAAATGATGTTTTGTTTTCAGGAATAATTGACATCACTAAGAAGAGGCTTTCTAAACAAAATAAAAAGCCCTTGTTGAGGTGGATCTTTGGAAATCAGTTTCTAAACAACAACCATGTAAATTGCTATGGGATAAAAGAATAATTCAGGACTTGAGAAACTTTATACAACAAAGCAGGGTTGGCAAATTGACTGGTCCATTGAGAACAGATGGATTTTGGACTGGTCCATTGCAATTAATAAAATACTAAATATGGTCAAAGTGTTACACTTATGGACCCAATGGACCACCAATAGACCATCAATGGACTGCACATTTGCCAACCCTGCAACAAAGACTCGTATCAAAAGTTACACCACCATACCCCTCTGATCTTGAAGAAAAATATCTTTTGGATTTTGAGGCCGTAAATGAATTTATAAAGGCCATGTAAGATTTTCTATTTTTTATATATTGCTTCAACCCCCTTTTATATTAAATTTTATTTTTAATATAGAATGACTGTCAATAAAAATTTTCTTTACAAGAGAAAGAATAAGCAAGTCATGGAATCAACATGGAAACATATAAAAAGGCTGATTTTTCACAATATAGATGAGTTTGCAGTAGAGTGGTAAGAAATTTGTGTCTTTTGGGAATTTCTCTCAAATTCATTCTTACTCTGAATATATGTATTTAAGGGATTATAGCTCCAGTGAAAGCACGCAAAATCATAATTCAAGGAAGGGTCCAGACAAAAAGCCAGATATAAAAGGATATCTTAGTGTGAAGAATCAACTTATAGAAACATTTTTTGCAGAAGTATCTTCTGGCAGTGTTGGCAAATCTGTCCAAATACTCCTTGTCCGATTGTCCAATTTGTGTCCAATTTACTGTATTAGGTAATTTGGACTAATAGTTACTGTGGCATTTGGACAATTGGAGAGGACAAATCCAAATAAAAATTAATTGGACACCTAAAAATGCCAACCCTGTCTTCTGGTCCTTTTGAACCCACAACTGCTTCCCTCAAACATGAGGAAGATGATTACAAAAAATTGGTTTTGCTTTCAAAAGATGCTTATAATTATATAAGAGAAAACTATTCCAGTGATGGCTTTTCCATTTTTACAATTCACTTTTTCGGTTAGTATTAATGTACATTTTTTATACTATTTGCAAAGTTACTATATCATGTCTTTGATTTTTAGGTAGCATGGCTTGCATTTATGAGTTAGATTTATATGCACATCCTCTCTGTCGATGGCGTCTTTTTGACGAAATAGAATATCCAATCAATGATCTTAGTTCTGATTCTTTATTCAAGACAGTAATTGGGTTTTTAAAATTCAGGCAAAGATTCAAAGAAAACCTTGAAATAATTAAGGGAATTTGCATTAATTATACATCCGATGAAGAAGACGATCTGAACTTGGAAGACCAAGAGTTAACAGATGAGGAATCAGTAAATTCATCTTCAGGCGAAGAATCATCTGGGGATTCCACTGATAGTTCCGAAGAACTGAGAAAATGCAAAAACGGATCATTATTTCCGACAATAAACAATAATTAATGAAATCATTTGTTGAGGTTAGAATTGTTTATTATTCATATTCTTCTGGCATTTCCATTAAAATACAAAGGAAAAACAAAGAAATAATCTTTTTATTTTTTTTTATAAATGTCAAATTAAAATAACAAAGTCCAAAAAATTGAAATAAAGATAAAATAAAATATTCTTTGCTAATTGAATTAGTTGATAATAATCTTTCACATATTATTTTATCTAAAAATGATGCTATTCCCCAAAATGCAGAATATGTCATAAAAGCATTTAATGTAGCCAATTTTTCATTCATTCCTTCATATGATGCTAAATTTATTTTTCCAGCAAGCATAGACAAAAATCATAGATGCTATGTAAACAAATAAAAATCACGTGCACACTTTACAATTTGTAATGCCGATGCTACGTAAGAAAAAAATTTAAAATTATCATATCAGAAAAAAATAAATTCTAGTAACGCACATGTGCAAGTAAATGTAATTATATATATGTGAAATCAAAAAAAAATATCCCTTTAATTTTCTTTGGATTGGAGGATACGGTAGAGCTACCTTCCATAAGAGTCCCTTTATAAGTACATATCAATTTGCGATTTTTTTCTTGGTAACGTAAAAATACAAAAAAACGAAGAGGAAAAATTTTGTGCCTCCATGAAGGTACCTAATTGACCCTCGCAATCCCCAAATCTTAATCAAATTGAATATCTTTGGAGTGAGCTAGGGAGACGATTAGATAAGTGAACACAATACCCCAAAAATGCCAACGAATCGGAAGCTGCTTTACAAGAAGTGTAGTCAAGAACTCCATATGAAACTTACTACAAATTAATAGAAAACATACCTAGAAGGATTGAGGCATGCATTTCTAGCGATGGATGGCCAACTCGATATTAATAATACTGTAATAGTGTATTAGATAATTCCAATAAAAAAAATAGTGAAAACCAAAAGTCAAAAACTACATATACGAATGCTCTTATATTTTTTTTTGATAACGAAACAAAGGTTTACTATTTTTGGAATTGGTATTTGTTTAATGCTTATGATTGGTATTTTAGTAAAAAAAGAACAAAGAAAATGTAGTATAAGTTCGTTCATTTCTATGAAGATATAATTGCCATATTACATCATAGTCCATACATACATTAAAGAGATACTTGACGCAATTTAAATAAATCTTTGTTTTTGTCTGATTGGCATTGAGACCATTGAGACAAACAAACTTATTAGTGGTGAAAAATATCCACAAGAAATCGAAAATCTATGGAAGAAGTGCTCTGACAATTCTTTATTTCAATAAACTGTTACATCTTATTAAGATAAATAAAGCATTGTTGTCTAACCCTTTCCTTGAACACGAATGTCTCCATATGCTACACAATGTTTATGTAATACATTGGGACCGAGAAAACTCTATTGAATGTGACCGCCTCACCATAGATTCTATTAATAGAAAATGGAAAAGGTCACCACCACCTTTATATAATTCGAAGAAAAAAAGTCCTCGGTACACTGATTCGTAAATATAGAGAAATGAAAAATGTCATCGGTTGCATTATTATTATTCTATACCAGAAAAAAATTTTTACATTTTATTATTTTATACAAAAAAAAAATAGTAAAAGAGTTCCTTATGATGTCAACAATATAATATTTCAGTACATGCACCAACTTTCAAGAATTTGTCAATGCTAAAAAAGTTATCTTGCAAATGTGGTCAAATTATTTCACTTGGAGTCAATTATCAAGTTGCAAACTTTAAGACATTCTGAGAGTAATAATAGGATTTTGAGATCATTTATCATATATTTCTATTATCCAATATTACAATGGTATTTTTTCATGTGAAAATTTGGTTGGAGGAGTCATTACCATTCATATTACACCGCAAGAAGAGTTTATTTTTTAGGATTTCATTCACTCTAATATTAATCCTTGTTTGATTGTAGAGATGATTGAAGCATTTTAATTCATGCTCATTCTAGTGATAAATTTCACATGTCCTTGGCTATTTTGATTCTCATTTTTAAATAATCGATTCGCATAATTAGAAAAAATAAAGATTCGCATTAATATGATTCGTCATTTAATTTGGCGGTAGTTTACCCGGTCCTATTGACACCAATTTATGGTAAGTGTTGTGCAACAGAAATCTCAGCCAAAATTGATTCATTCCAAATACAGAAATAATACGGATCATATAAATAGACTACTTCAAAAAAATTTCCTCTCTATACATTCGAAATGAGCCAGTTGAGTAATATTGATAGATGAATAAAACTTATTCAACGATATTTACCATTACCTGTCCTTTTCAATTTCTTTAATACTAGACCCCAAAACTTTTCCGAGGGCTCCGAAATTAACTTTACTTCTCCCGTTATTCTATTAATAGGGAAAACAGGTAAGCATCATCAAAAAGATTTTTAATGCTCTCATTTCTTTCGTTAATTAAAGGAATAATTTGTGTCAAGGTGCTGGAAAAAGTACTCTCGGTAACTTGCTTCTCAATCAGCCATGTGACAAAGGCCCTTTTGAGGTTTCATCAAGCATGGTCAGTGATCACATTTCATATTTGCATGAAATTCATTTTCATTCCGATCCTAACGATGAAACTATATAGGAATCCTGCACGCAAAAATGTGGCACATCAATGTTGGAAATCGATGGAGTCGCTTATAAACTTGTTGACACTCCAGGAATCTTTGATACACAAAGGCTTACGGACGAAATTCTCATGGAAATTGCCAGAACAATTCATAAATGTGCTTACGGTGTCAAAGCTATCCTTTTTGTTTTTGGTATGTAATAACATCGTCCCTCTATATAATTACAATCAAAGCTTGCAGAATGAAGCTTCTGGAAGAAGGACCAAAGTGTTATGACCGCATGACGGCAAGTGGTAACCTTATTATTTTTTATTTGCCCTACAGAAGCAAGGCGGTTTACCGAGGAGCAAAAGAATGTCTTGCAAAATATAAATTTATTTCTTGGGGAAGGCGCAATGGATTATATCATTGCTATTTTTTCTCATGCGACCAAAAAGCAGAATGCCAGTAGGGATGAAATGCGAAATGATTGGAATTTGACTGTTTCATCTTTCATCAGAAAAATAGATAACCGCTGGGGAATATCCCCAAATTCTGACTATTATCCCCCAGATGATCTAGTGCATAAAGCCCGGTTAGGAGAAATTAAAGCATTTATCTCCGGTACACGAGGTGTCTATACTACAGAAGCGTTTAAATCCGCTCGACGAGAGCAAGAGAAAATTCAGCGTATAAAGAAACAGGAAGAAGAACAAGCAAAAAAGCAATATGAAGAAAATTTAATAATAAAAGGGAGAGAAGAAGCCGAAAGAGAGTATAATAAAAACATGGCTGAAATTAATCAAAATTCTTCGAATTCTTTGAATTCTTTGAAAAGTACTATCGCAGAACTGCAGTCACAAATTGAAGAGTTGAAAAAAAATCAGGTACAAATACAAATAAACAAACGCCCTACATTTTCTACGTGATTACAAGATAAATTGTCACATTTCATGGATAGTGAATGGTATTCATTTGTATTTTTTTGCGTGCTTAATTTTTATAGGACTGTTTTGCTCTTGATACAAAGGTGCAACTCGCAAGCGGTAAAGTGATAGAGATGGCAGAACTCCAAGTTGGTGATCTTGTTTTCAGCAATGTTAGAAATAACAAACCCGAGTTTTCTGAAGTTTACTTGATATCTCATCTGGGCCATTACGATTATCCTCTTAAAATGATAAAAATTGAATTCACAAATCCCGATGGAAGTAAAGGTAATTTAATTTACCTTCTCGTTCACAGGCCTTCCTTAAGATCTTTAATGATCCCAAATATATATATTTTTAAAAACAGGCCAAATTCGCATGACATCTACGCATTGCATTTTCCGTAGTGATTTATCGATCTTGTATGCTCAAGATGTGGTGCCTGGCGAGACCAAAATTCTGGTTTTGGATAGAGCGAATGAACTTATTCCTGTCACTGTCGATAGTCTGGTCATTGTAAGATTGTTATTTTTATTGACAAAACGCGTCTTTCATGTTCTCAATATTAAATCATCTTTCAAAATTAGGAACAAGACACTGGCTACATCAGTTTCTATACACGTGCTGGCACCGTGATTGCCAATAACATTTTATGTTCGTGCTATGACGATTGCCCACCATCACAATTTTTAATGGACCTGGCGTTCGCACCAATTCGGTTATGGACTAAAGTATTTCCCTCTACCCATCGTCAGAAAGAACTTCACCCATACGTGCAAATCCTGGAAACCGCCTATGTCACTTGGTGCAAAGCGTTAGATATTTCCAAAAGAATTAAAATGACTTGATTGAGGGATGTGGTTCCTTAATTTGATGTATTTTTTATATATTAGAAAATTAATTCGTGCAGTATAGCAATTTAGCTAAACCAATATTTGAATACAAAATTTCTTTTTAAGACACGTCCAAATAAAGTTATCTTGTGTCAGCAAAGCAATATATTTTTTGCGTGTATTTTTTCAGATAAATCAAATACAAATCCAGATGCTGTTTAATTGATTTGGTATAAATGTTAACACTCATTCACACGCGGTTAATCACTCTTAACATTTCTCTGGGTTAAATAAATGCTATTAACCCCATGATAAAATCATACAAGCATTTTCACTAATCCATATTAACACTCCCTCGTTTAATCAACGTTAGTACTTTACACTACAAAATCATGGATTTTTACTAAAGTACTTCTTATTTCTTAATAGTGATTTTGAATAAAATTGGTGTATGATGAATCTAATAAACATATATATAACATATTTATGTCTAAAAAGTATATAATAGAAATACAATCTATTAAAAAAACTTTTTATTAATTAAATAATTAAATAATTACATAAATATTATAAATCTAATAGTTTGACTCCTCTTAACGCTGCTACTTTAATCAAAATTTCTCTATCACCTGCATCTATAAATTCGTCAATTTTATCATCACTATTTGATCTTAATCTTAATAGTTTAAATAATTGATCCTCATCCATTTCTAAAACTTTAACAGTTTTTTGTACTTCTCTGGTTGGTGAAATATCTAGAGCAGAAAGAACGTTCGTCAAATAACCTAAATCCGTTAACAATTGTTTTATACCATGTGTTGATAATTGTGGGATGGCCAGAATACGTTCAAAAATTGCATGCATAGTGCCACGAGCTATAGATGTAATCCAAGTATGTGTGACCTCTCCTGTTAAAAACTCTTCTTCTTCCATCTGTATATTATTATTATTAGTTTCATCTTTTTGATCAATTTCCTTTATGATTCCTTCCTTTGTTGCTATACTACTTGCAGTAGTAACAGTAGTGGTGGCTGCTTCTGCCACTGCTGCGGTAGTGTTTATTGATTTCTCATCACTGTAAGGTAGTGATCCAATAGAAAAAGCCAATGATTCATCATCAGCAAAGACTTCAAATTGTTGTGGCAAAGTTAAAAGATGTTCTCCAATTCTAGTCATGTATTCAGATGGTGATAAACTGAATATTGGAATTTCTATATTAAATGGTGAAATTTGTGAAGACTCTGCTGTTGCATTCCAAATTTCCATCGAGGGTAGGTTTATCATATGTTTAACAATAGGAAAAAAAATGCTATCAAAAACAAGAAGTTGACTAGATTTAGTAAAAGTGCTAATAGATTTAGCTGAAGGTTTTAAGACTTGCTTTGTCTTTATATCTCCCGATAAAAGTTCATTAAGTTGATGACTGTTAAGAGGTGATTGTTGTAATAATGATAAAGATGATAGAGTTCCTGTAAAAGTTGTTTTTTCAATAATCACTGATTGTTGCTCATACCAACCAAATTTGTCATGATTATTTATATCAAGCTCTATCAAAGGTCTCATGCTAACAAGTTTTTCTTTAATATTATCTTCCAATATCTTTAATTTATCAGTTGCAATACGACATGTTGATAATAATCTCAATCCAATTTGAAAATTGGACCAATCTTCTTGTAATTTATCTTGGTCAAATTCACTATAATAATAATCATTCATATGTCCAGATGATTTTGAATGTTTATGATATTTGACATGATAATCATTTAATCTAAAGTCTGTACGTAATTGATCCAACAAAGTATGATATTCTTTTATAAAAAAAGAAAAGAAATAATTTAAACAGTTGATTAATCCAACTGCAGCAAACCCATGTGTAAGTTTCATACATCTTTTCACTGAATTTTCTGCCATGTAAAATATTTTTGAAATATTTCCTGACATGACTTTTGCAAGTTCAACAGATCCAGAAATTTCAGTTGATTGAAGAATAGTTTTTTTGAACAAATCAATTAAATAATTCTTCTCGTATTCGGAAAAATCATGTTGATATTCAACAAAAGGTTCAAAAATCACTCGACCCCAATCAATTAAATTCATCTTTGGCAGCATCAATTGATTATTATTTGATGATAATGATGATAATGTGACTTGAATTGGATTAAATAAAATATGTTCCATTTGTTGACCAAAATTTTCAGTTAAAGTAAAGGCATCAATAATTTCTGGTAAACATTGTTCACCATAATATTCAATCAAACCTAACAATCTTGTACTCAAAGATGGTTCCAATGAATCAAAAATACTTTCAATAAGTGTTATTATAATTTCATTTGTATCAGGAAAAACATTTCCACACCAAGTATATTCTTTATTTAGTTTCATAAATAATTCTTCATAAAACTCTTGTAAAAATTCTACAAATTTTTTATATGAGTTTGATTGATTTTGAGAATCAAAGGTGTTTGAAGATGAGGTTGTTATTGTCGTTATAGGTGGATTTTGTTGATGTTTTTGTTTAGATGTGTCATTCATCATTGTTACAACATCAATTATAGCTGCATTTTGCCATAATTTTACAAAATGTTCTTTTCTTGATTCATAATAATAATTGCAAAATTCTTTTTTTCGACCAATTTGACAGAATATTGCATAGAACATTTGACATGAACTAATATCATGTTCACTCAAAGCAACAACTAGTTGAGGGTTAATCTTTGTTTCAAGTTGATTTTTCAGTTCGCTTAACAATTTATGACGATGTTCATACTCTGGTGTATTTTGAAAGATTATTAAACTTTTTTCAGCTTCATGAAGGCGTGAACTGGCTTTTTGATAATCATTTGAAGCAAAAATATTGTTTGCATCAGCCTCCAAATTACTCCAATTTTCTGCTTCTTGTAATACAGCATGTGATTCTTCCATCCGTGATTTTACCAAATCTAAGGATTTCAATTGTTCCAACAATGTCTTGCCGGTATCAGTTTCAACATTATTAACACTATTTTTAACTTTAGTTATATCAACCTTCAAGTTTTTTGTATCCTCTTGCATGACTTGTAAATCAGATAATATTCTTGGCATGCTCTTGGTAACATCTTCAACTGTTTTACCTAGTCTATGAGAAATTTCTTGAGAAAGGAACTGTAATTTTTCTATAAGAATAGTGACATTATTTTCCAACAGTTGAACTTCATGCTCTTTTGAATGTTTTCCGACAGTTGTTGTTGCATCTTTAACACTTGATGAAACGGCATCATTAATCCATGCTTTTACATTGAAATCTTTTTCTAAAAAAGCAGAAAAATTAATTGACTTGGATGTTTGTTGCTCATTCAGATTTTCTATCATTTTTTTTTTTTTTTAAAAAAAAATAAAATTTGGGTTTTCGCCGAAATTGGACGTATATGTCGATCACAAAAAATCCAAAATACATTATTAATATTAAGAAAGATATTGCCAATAACTGAACTACAAATTCTCTTTTAGATAGTGATCACTATAATTGATTCATTGATTCATAAGGGTTTTTTCTTGTATTGTGTGTATCAAAATTATTGCAACAAAAGGATTATGGATTAACTTTATTAGCACTATAAAATACGTAAATTATTATTTCCTCCACCACTTTGAATTAAACCTTGATCCCAGTCAATACATAAATTTTTTTTTTCAGATGTCATCTTTGATGAATCTAATATTTGTTGAAAAGTGCATAAAGGTGTCTTACTGCGGACATCTCGAATTTTTAGAGTCAAATGACACACAAGATGCCAACTTTTACGTGAATCAAGTGTCAGTTTGACAATAGCTGTATCTGTACATCCAATATTTATTAATTTGTCAGTAAATGCAGAAATGATAACAATAACTTTTTTTAACAGATAGATTACTTATTTATTTGCCTTCTGCACAACATGGATCCCATAATCAAAAGTAGACGATCAGAATACCCAGACAGATGAAATGGGAAAAAATTTAAATTGTGAGTTGATATCTGAGATTTATGTGTGGTTTATTTCTCACTAGATGGTCCATGAGATTATTATCAATTTGTAATTCAGATGATAAATTACGAGTAGTTCCACTCTCTCTATAGGGTAATATCTGTTATAGAGAGAATCTGTTATAGACAGTAATGAATTATATATATGACATATAAAGCAAGATCTGTGAACTGTACCGTCAAATCCTCCTCATCGAACAATTGTTTTGTGTTTTTATCATCAGAGCCAATAACAAAGCTATGTATTGAACCAATGAAACATGTACAATGCTAGCTAAGTATGTGGTGGGTTTCAAGGTAAAGATTAGATTGAAGATGTTAATAATAGTAAGTAGTAAGTATAATAAAGACTTGGGTAATTGAAAAGATCATTAAATTCCTGGGAGCTAGTTGATGTATGTACAATGGTCAATGCACTAATAACTAACTGATAAATATGATAAATGTGATGGCGGGAAAATCTTATTTATTTATTCGTTTATTGATCGGATGTTACTTTTTAGCTGGATCGATTCGTATGTTCCAGCTTGATGGATTTTTATTACAGAAACTTTTCAAAGCAAAAATTTCACAAATATAACACATTTGAGACTACTAAATGATCATCATTTTATTTTGATTTTAAATAAATTGCTCAAATTTTCCCCTCCTCAATATAAAGAATAATGGGTATATTATATTTGTTTTGATGAAGGTGGAGGAGATGGTCCAAGTGATTTTGATTATGCTTTGGTAATTTGTTATATGAAATTGGGATATCTAATAAAACTGTGATTAATATGGATGGATATATAAAAAAATCTTGAGAACTACAGTACATTGGGTATATGGGGCAACAAAGTGGACATTATTAAGTAAATATTGACATTTTGGGCATTCGTTTTTGAACCTTTATTATTCATGAAATTCTGGGAGTCTGATAATTTCTAGGTTATATTTGCTTCTACACACAACCACTCGAAATATCAATTGTAGCTTCAGATTATTCTTGGGATATTTATGTTTTTCATATAACCCCCGTGATTTTATTTGTAAATTTCAATATTCAAAAAAAAAGATACTCGTAGTCATCACATAGTAAAAGTTACACGTCTCATACTAATACTCATGCCGAGTAAATGATAATTGTTACTATATAATTTGAATTTAAAAACCTAATAATAGCATGCTTGCCAAGTTCGTTCTGATTCAAAAAATTGTATTCTTATGATTATTAAAAAACATATTATTATTCAAATAAAAATGTTGGCATTACTTCATTACTTACTGAAGTATTGAAATTTTTTTTGAATAGTCAACGATGCTTTTTTACAAGTCTTTGGTACCAGTAAAGATTGAAACGTCAGCTGATGGATTAGATGAATTAAAAAATCAAAATTTTATAATATGTACTTTGTGCGGTAGAGGAACACGATCAACTGAATTGGCTGCTCAGAATTATCAGGAATCCTAATTCTGATGTATGAACTATCACATTTCGATTATTTAATGGACGATTGTTTTAGATAATGTTGATTATATGCATTTGTTTTTAGGTGCCTTTATTATTTAATGTTATAGGTTAATTTGATGCTTATACTATATTTTCATATATGAATACATTGTTGCTATCTGTTAGTGAGACTGTAGAAGAGGTTAGCATTCCTTGCATTATTAACACCTACTTTAGATGTCCATCTATTTGGTAACGATGTATTACTTCAGGTACACATTTATTCAATTCATTAATTATTGTTATTAATCTACTTGTATTAAATTCACGCCTTTGATATAAAATATATCCTCATAATTGATCAACTTCAATTCGTCAATTTCGTCACATTTCGTCAAATGCGACGAAATTAACGAAATAATTCCCCTCCCTGAAAAGTATTTCGCCAACCATTCTTAGTAAATACATTAAATTCTGGCAATTATTATTTATTATCATGATTAATATTACTTTTTTTCCAATTGTTAATTTTTGAGGAATATACATATGTACTATGTAGGTTCTTGGACAATTTCTAAAAACATCATGTCAAAAGTTTTTGATTGCCAAAATTTAATCTGTTATAAAAAACCATAAATGTTATAATATAACATTCGAATTTCATTTTTATATATTTATTTGAGTTCTATGGAACCTATATTCATGGGATTTTGCATAGATATTCACAAGAACCTAAACCGCAAATGATATAAATTTCGTATATGTTATTATGTGTATTTTTACGCAATTAACAAAAGCAAGTGTTCCGAAACTTTTATCCAGGTACTGTAGGTAACTTGTTAATATTATAAAAAATGAAAACATTGATTTGAAAGGGTAAGAAATAAATGATACTGCAATTATGATTATTAAACATTATATTTATTTTTTGTCAAAAATCAATATTTTAATGTGCAACTTATTAATGCTATAAAAAATGAAATCATTGGTTTGAAAAGGTAAGAAATAAATAAAATTACATTTATTTTTTGTCAAAGTCATTATTTTAGTGTGCATATTCAACATCCAAATTTCAAATGAAAAAATTCCAAAGATAATTATGAAAGTTACCTTTATATAACATCATTACTCAAGATATTTAAAAATAAATAAAAATAACAAATAATAAATAATAACATGATTTAACTTATTCAGGTAATTCATCTGGTATAGTTAACTCAATCTGTGTAGAATCTACAAAAATAGCTAAATCAATTTGTTTATAATCTACAAAATATTTATTACAATAGTGGATATTGTTAATTTTAAAAATTAATAAAAATGAAAATCATCAATATTGAATGTTAATAATTACCATTATTATTACCAATAATTGTTACTTTATTGGAATTCACAGGTTGGAGAAGATTTGTAAAATTTAAAAATCTGCTAGTATAGACTGCATTTGGATGAATTGCATCAGTAATTGTTGAAGGATCAAATTTTATTTCATCCATTTTTCCAAACTCTTTTTTAATTGAATCAAATGATTCAATTTGACCACCTGGCCCATATTGAAGTGAATGATCCCAAAACCTGATAATCTTATAAATTTCTTCAGCAGTTGGACGTCTATCTGGATTAGCATCCATGCATCCATATGCTAGTTCAATATAGGATTTTGGTGTGTTGTTTGAGAATCCTGGTCTTACACCCTCACATATTTTGCCTGCAAGATCTACATCATGTGCCAAATTATTAAAAGGCTGTTGACCAGTTGATACTACAGACATCAGAACTCCAAAACTGTATACATCTGATGCCATTGTATATGGTTTCCCATTTAGAACTTCTGGTGCAATATATGGTAGTACTCCACATATATCATTTTTGTTTGATGATGATGTTTGACTAGCTGGGCATGATAATCCTAAGTCTGTAACCCATAATCTACCATCACTATGAAGAATATTACCAATATGAAGATCATGATGAATAATTTCTTCTTCATGAAGAAGTGTTAAGCCTTTAGCAATATGTTTAAGAATTTCAATTTTGTCTTTCCATTTTAAATTTTTAAAATCTTTTGCTAAATAATTTTGAAGACTTCCATCTTTTACATATGTCATTACAAATATATATTCTTTTGTGATTGGATCTTGTGTTAATCCATAAAGATGAATTATATAATATTTGTTATCAAGAAACTTCATATAATTTTTGAACTAAATCAACAAATAAAATATTTAGTTACAATAATAATAATTAAAAATATTTAAAAAATCTGAAAAATAAACAGAAAAATAAAATAATTCACCTCATTAAGAAATTCATCAGAAATATTCAGTGGATTATGTAGTTTTTTTAATGCCACTAGCATATTTTTACTAGTTCTTTCATTATCACCATGTATATTTTTATAACCATTTACACTTTTATAACCATTTAACCAAGTAGCTTTGGATATAGTTGAAAACCCACCTTCACCTATCTTTTCAATATTTGTTAAATCATTAT